CAAATCCACGCTCTAGCGTACTCCAAAACCAATCATGCGAATTATTGGGCACCGACCTGTGCCATAACGCGGTATCGCCACACCGAATCAACGTGAGGTAGGATACTGCCTGCATTCTTTTAAATAAGTTTGATTCTCTTTACTCGAAATTGGTAGAGTACTTTACTTACCTACCTAAGTGTCTTTAGGTAGGTAAAGTACATTAAGCTCGAAGTACCTATTACTTCACGTCGGTTAAATAAGGTAATTAATTCTTAAATACTAACCAGGTATTTAGCTCCCACGCAGCGCTGCGGTGTTGTAGGTAATACCAATCGAATGGATGAGATCATCATATTCTACCACCAGTCAACTCATTGTTGATCGTAGGTTAAGTGAGGTGTCATTCTTATGTATGTACCTATAACGTTTCTGCCCATACGATTAGTCCCTTATGGCCCTCTTACTTACTTGTAAATTTACTTTTGGCGGTTTAGTGCAATAAGTTTCCTACTTTCCCCACTTGGCAATGAGCCCAATCTTGCAAAAATGAAAATGTTAGGTACATCAGCGTAATTTATTCCGCAACATTGAAAAATTTATGGAGTGAACTGTGGAGTGAACATACTGTAGGTAATCGGCTAATCGCCGGGAAAAACAATCACTATTCCGCTCAATTTGAGAGCATGCAGAGTTAACGTAAGTGTAGAGGTCCACTCATAAACGCTTTTTATGCGAAAACTCAATGCATTTCCTATATCAATATTGCACTCATAATGCTATCAAACTTTCTTTTAGCTCTTGATAAGCCAATAGTTTACTTAAAGTTACAAACACAAACAACCCGAAGGCTAAGAAAGCTTCTACTAAGAGTTTAGCTTATCTCTACGTGTCTTACCTCTACTACTCGTAGTTACACATTAGGTGATATAAGTAAGTTAATGCTCATCTAAATGAAGGTAGTTAATTTTATCCGGAATACAGAAAATAATTGTTAAGGTTGCTAATTACTTTTTACATTTCAAGTTTTTAAATTAAGACATTTTTCTATTACACGCTAGACTCTAGCGTTAGAGAGGGTTCTAGAGGGTGTTGGATAGATCCAACGAGCTTTTGAGTGTGTGCTTTAGGCCATTAAAATCTATCATTTGATCTTAAAAATCCGGCTTTAGGTAGGTATTCTAAGTTAGGTAGGTACGCAAAAAATGTGCCTGATCTACTAGGAGCTGAAGAAAGTTTACCGAGTCACTTGACGATACCTACACGTGGAAAAGTGACAGTTTCGTACCATGCGAGCGGGTTGATTAAATAACGCGTTGCAGCGCTGGCCGGCTGATGACCGGCGAGCGAGGGTTATTGCATTTAGCGCGCCCGCCCGGCTAATTCGTCCACCCTGCGCCACGAAGATACGGTCGCTTGCCGTCATTTGTTGCTCATGGCTTGATGCAGTAGCGGCGTAAGGGGGGGGCGGTGGGGGCGGTCCGCCCCGGGTGCCAAGCATCAGGGGGTGACAAAAGTCGCGCAGATTAGTACTCACTGACGCATATGCATGGCAAGGACGGTCGTGATGTCATGACAGGGGGGTGCCATTCTGGGGTGCCTNGTGGTACCTTTAAACCCCCCTCTCCCCGCCGGCTCAATGGCTAAGGGCGGGGACTTTTGCTATGTTCACCACCTAACTAGGCTAAATAAAGTCCCGAGGTCAGAAATTGTGTTCCACGGTTTTCTCTCTACACCGTCGTTAAGGCATTCATTGACTGGACTAGTATTGTCAAATAAAATGTTTAAATTCAATTTTTAAAATGGATTAACATCGACGCGTTTTAAAAGTGTATTTAAGTACCTAATATGTCAAATATTATTCTTCTGTGTGGTTCTCCGCGTTAACCATTGTATAAAGACAACATAAAGACAGTCTGTCATTTGTGATTTGTTAATTGATACTAATCTTTTCAGGTAGTCTCAGCAGAGGCACATAAAGTGAGCCTCTAAGGACGGGGGCCACAGTGAGCGTGAAAAATTCACTTTGGTAGGTACGTAGCCATGTTTTATTTAAGGCTCAGCGCACTGCGGCCTTCTCAAATATTTAGCGGCGACCATTGAGACGGTTACCTTCGCAGACACATAGCGCTATTTTGTCTCAGACACACGCATCTATTTACTTTCCACCTATGAAATAAAAATAATACAAAGACAGAGAAAAAACTCTCTAAAGAAGAGCAAGAAGAGAGGACACGAATGGAAGATTGTTTGGCTAACTAAAGAAAAGTCTTTTTCAATTATTGGCAGAGTAAACTCATCGTTCCGTGTATTTCTACAAAATAGGGCATCAAAATAACTTCAGCTTTTTCGGGCTGAAAGTACAAAGTAACAGACAGACTAAGTACTTAGTCACTTCCATAGTTATTAAAATTTTCTAGGGTTACTAAGAGTCGCACCTCAAACTAAATTTTATAGTCACTTTTACATTATAAGTAATATTCATATGAATAGGTGTGGATTTCATGACTAAACAAAGGATCCCTAGTTCCTATCAATATATTGGATAGATTCATTACTTTTTCAAAACACTTAATAAGTAGTTCCTCAAGTCCTTGATAGAAAACGTTACAAAACATCTTCCCCAAAAAGCATTTACGGTAAACGCGCGCTATCTGAGAGGTGGGTAATAAATATCGCACTTTACGAATCCGCTAAAGGGTGTAAACGAATGATAAAACGACAGTCTGCGGCTGCCATCTGACTTTTATGGCGCGTGTATAAAATGCCAATGACATATACAAATGGTAACACTGGCGCTGAGCGGTAAAAGCTCCATGGGAAAATTTTGCAGGTAAAAAGTTGTGTACAGAAAACTATTGTAACACATTTACAAACAGAATGACAAGTCATGTTTTCCTATGTTGTGTATGTGATCAACATTTTCAAAAAATTGCTGGGGCCTGGATCCAACTTACCTTCCGAAGTTCGAAGATCCTAAGCGTGATGATCGGTACACTTAAAGGAAGATAATTTGGTGATCTCAACTAAACATACCACCACTGCATCAAGCTCAGCAAAAAATATTCAAATATGATACCATAGCTCGCATAATTTTAAAACTTTTTCTTATCATAGTCCATTCCCGTGACTAATTGGCGTAAGTTATGTGCATGGCTGGGTAGCCAGGCTAAGCTCCGTGCGGGTTACAAAAATATCTCGGCAGTGAGGCAAATCTACGCTCTAGCGTACTCCAAAACCAATCATGCGAGTTATTGGGCACCGACCTGTGCCATAACGCGGTATCGCCACACCGAATCAACAACGTGAGGTAGGATACTGCCTGCATTCTTTTAAATAAGTAAGTTTGGTTCTCTTTACTCGAAATTGGTAGAGTACTTTACTTACCTACCTAAGTGTCTTTAGGTAGGTAAGTACATTAAGCTCGAAGTACCTACTTTACGTCTGTTAAATAAGGTAATTAATTCTTAAATACTAACTAGGTATTTAGCTCCCACGCAGCGCTCTGCGGTGTTGTAGCCTACCAATCGAATGGATGAGATCATCATTTTCTACCACCAGGCAACTCATTGTTGATCGTTCGTACCTAGTAGTATAAGTAGTCTTTCTTTTCTTATAATATGTATAACATTTCTGTCCATACAATTAGCCCCTCTTACTTACCTATAAAGTTACTTTTGGCAGTTTAGTGCAATAAGTTTCCTACTTTCCCCACTTGGCAATGAGCCCAATCTTGCAAAAATGAAAATGTTAGGTACATCAGCGTAATTTATTCCGCAACATTGAAAAATGTATGGAGTGAACTGTGGAGTGAACACACTGTAAGGTAATCGCCGGGAAAAACAATCACATACCACTCAATTTGAGAGCATGCAGAGTTAACGTACCTAAGTGTAGAGGTCCACTCATAAACGCTTTTTATGAGAAAACTCAATGCATTTCCTATATCAATATTGCATTCATAATGCTATCAAACTTTATTTTAGCTCTTGATAAGCCAATAGTTTACTTAAAGTTACAAACACAAACAACCCGAAGGCTAAGAAAGCTTCTACTAAGAGTTTAGCTTATCTCTACGTGTCTTATCTCTACTAAGTAGGTAGTTACTTACACATTAGGTGATATATAAGCTAATGCTCATCTAAATGAAGGTAATTTTATCCGGAATAGAGATAATAATTGTTAAGGTTGCTAATTATTACTTTTTACATTTCAAGTTTTTAAATTAAGACATTTACTAAGTAGTTACACATTAGGTGATATAAGCTAATGCTCATCTAAATGAAGGTAATTTTATCCGGAATAGAGATAATAATTGTTAAGGTTGCTAATTATTACTTTTTACATTTCAAGTTTTTAAATTAAGACATTTTTCTATTACACGCTAGACTCTAGCGTTAGAGAGGGTTCTAGAGGGTGTTGGATAGATCCAACGAGCTTTTCAGTGTTAGCTTTAGGCCATTAAAATCTATCATTTGATCTTAAAAATCCGGCTTTGGGTAGGTATTTTAAGTTAGATACGCAAAAAATGTGCCTGTTCCACTAGGAGCTGAAGGTTTACCGAGCTACTTGACGATACCTACACGTGGAAAAGTGTCAGTTTCGTACCATGCGAGCGGGTTGATTAAATAACGCGTTGCAGCGCTGGCCGGCTGATGACCGGCGAGCGAGGGTTATTGCATTTAGCGCGCCCGCCCGGCTAATTCGTCCACCCTGCGCCACGAAGATACGGTCGCTTGCCGTCATTTGTTGCTCATGGCTTGATGTTCGTAACGACGTTACAAAGGTCTGCCGGGCTTTTCGTGCGCGAAATAACGGATCATTTCCGTTCTCCTACAACCTGCTGGTTTTAGTGTCACGCGGACTGTCAGTGCGGATCGCTCCGCACAGCCGATCTGTATGAACTGCTAGAGAGCGAGCGGTTCCTCCGGACCGCATTACTCTAAAACGCTCCCTAGAAGTTCATACAGATTGGCCGTGCGGAGCGGTTAATTTATAAGGGATAGTAAATAAAACATAAGTGGATTACTTGTTATTTATTTTATATCTATTTTGTAATAAAATAATTCAGTTTATATTGAAAATAATATACACGCTCTCCAGGATGGATGGACCTGGCCATCCAGGTTTTAGGATAGAGCTTTATTTACCAGAAAATAATTAGTATTATAGCAAGTATGACGTTTTGACAATACAGCATTTACTGTTATAAAAATTAATCCAGACGGGAAAAATATACATCCAGCAAAAAAAAATACAGAAAACTTGACTTTATTGAATTAAACAACAACAATTATTTCTAACATTCATCACTCGATTTTTTATTCGAATCAGGATATTCAATTCTTAATAAAAAAATGTGGCAAAATGATGCTTTCTCGCTTAATATGAATCAAGGAGTTTTAACTGCCACTTTGCTCAAAACTCGATTTGATTATGGTTTTGCAAAAAATCCAAATCGAATAAAAAATCCACAACTATTTCCCAATACAAGGTTAATATTACACTATTTACAGTAAAACTTAGGCGCGTATTAATGAAACGACTCAAACAATTCAAAACTCTATTAAATCTAATCTAAATGTATCTTAATTAACTAAACAATCGAATCGAGTTTTGACTTTGAGTTGAGTATCATTTTGTGATAAGGGCCTTATACACTCGTCAAAACATAACATCACTGAGGGTATGTGACTGAGGAAATACAAATATACCTAATTCTATATTGTCGGTAAATGAAATATTAAAATTATGTTTCAGAAAAGGCACAGGTCTGGCAGCATTTATGTTTATAAAAGTAAGTAAAGAGCTAAAAGCTTACAAGCTTTTGAGCAAGTCAAGTATTAAACCAATAGTCAGGAAAATATTTACTAAATAATGGTTTAATTAATTTACATAGGTACCTCTTAATATCTGACTTCATAATAAAATTCATATTACAACTTAGCCTTCTTTACCTCTTGTCCATTTGTGCAAAAACAAATATACAATGGACTTATACTTAATCATAAGTCAGTTTTCACAATTCCAAACTATTAACTCTTCAAAAAATTAATAAACATGAGATTTCAAACTCAAATTATATTTTTGTCTGTTATAAATACTAAGTATACATACTATAATTATATTATATTATAATATAAATACTATAATAATACAGGACAGACAGACAATTTCTTATGAAAATAATTAATATTTTGGAATTGAGCTGTGTGTTGTACTTCATTATACCAAGAGATGAAGATCTCTATGAGCCCGATTTCTTCTTAGCTAATTCTTCTAATGCTGTTGCAATCCTGAAACATTGTAAAATTAGTGGTTACTATAAGTTATATAGACAAGACAAGACACAAGCATAGCAAAGACTTTAATATCAAAGTTGTAATAGGTACCACTGTAACAAAATGTAGTTACATGTTTGATGTGTTAGTTGTAATAGGTACCACTGTAACAAAATGTAGTTACATGTTTGATGTGTTGTTATTTTTACTGTCTTAATGATATTATGAACAGACCATTGCTTACTTTAACAATAACAAATTAACATCAAGTCTGTCAAACTCCATACAAAAACACCAATTATTTATAGTTACAGTTGAAATTAAGGTGGTGCAACTGAGAACTTATATCAATCTAAAATAATCATAATGATATAGGTATTATGTGAGAATGATGTAAGTTCTCAGTTTCTTTCTTTTCTCTTCCTAGATAATTTTAGATATTCATAGCTTAGATTAATGACTGTGTACTGTAGAACTCACCTTGATAGAACTTCAATTTTCTGCACTTTATAATCTCTGTCCAGCTCTAATTTATCTCTTTCAATTCTTATTAGTTCTTCATCGAATGATGCTGTAACATTTAAAAACAATCAATTAAATAAGCTTGAATTTTGCATAGAAAATTTGTATCAGGAACAGGCTAATAGTTCTAACACAACTGAAGAATGATTTTAGTCTGTATTTTTGCTTTAAGTGCCAGGAAAATACTTTAAAAATACTAAATTTTACTAGGAAAAGGGATGTAACATTACCAAATTTTTTCTTGGGTGGTCCATAATGATTCATTGAAATGTCACTCTCTAGAGACATGTCTGTGCTGGGTCCAACACTAGTGTCACAAGACTGATGTTGTTTCAATGCCCGTTTCTTGTTATTTGATTTTAAGTCACGCCAAGTCTGAAAAAAGTATTAATAACATTTTTAATCATTCACAACCAATTATTTAGTACCAGCTACCACAAATGTTTTTGAGTAGTATAAAGCTACCCAGACTAATAAAATTGGTATTATCACATCAAGAACCTAAACTAAAATTGAAAATTTCACCCAATGTTAAAATAGCTCAGATGGGGCAGCAGCCACCTGGCAAGCAAAAGGTCGTGGGTTCGAAATTTTTAAAAAGCTTATAAACTATATCTAAAACTTAACACTTACTTGTTTCCATTTCTCTACAGATTTCACAGCTCCTCCCATGGAATTAAGTGTATTCGTAAGTTCCTTCCATTGAGCTTCTAAATCTTCTTTTTCGAGTCCAGAATTAATCAGACCTTTGGCAAAGTCCGAGTGCTCCTGCATAAAGTCAACCAAAGCGGCTACCTGTGCTGCGGTTGCATGCTTCTTAGAATTGTCCATTTCAAAATTGAAAATAATACGCACTATGTGCTAAGAACAATATTCTGGACAAAAGTACAACTCTTGTAATCCTTGCTGATCAATTTGGACTCCAAACTACTGGATAATCACAAGTTATTTAACTTTACTGGGTATGTCAAATATGTTGTTGATTGCTTCACAACCGTCTTTTAAAGATATTCTTTTCATTTTTATTACATTTATGGGACCAGAACATAGAACAATACTTTATTTAGCAAATAAAGCTGTGATAAAATTTTTACAACCAATTTATTACACACACCAGCTAATAATGTGACAGCTGACAGCTACTGTCAATCCAATGACACAGATTATACAGATCAATCACAGAGAATAGTCACCATAGATAGAGCATCCTAATAATTTTACAACCGTAGCAGCACCGTTTGGCGTCCCGCCCAGTGCCCCGATTGTGATAAAAATGTTTATCTTCAACGCGCTCGGACGACGAACGAACATCAGCCCCCCTAGACAAAACGCACTTTTTGATCGAATCGAAAATCGAATCTGTCAAAACTCCATACAAAAAAGGGGCTTTTCGACCACTTTTCGACTGGTTTGCGATTATAATTTGCACTTTGTCTAGACCCACAGCTGTTTTGACAAATCCGCATCGCGATGTCGTTTTGACAGCTAGTTGAAACGAAGCATAAACGTAAACAGACTGTGCCTTCAGTAAATTCTTTAAAACAAAGTAAACGTCATTATGTGCCTTAAGAAATAATCGAGTGAGATCACTTATCGTTTCCTTCCATCCACCCTGTATAGTTGAACGATGGTGGCGCCCTCCTGTCAACGAGTTTGGTGGGACAGTTCAGTGTAGGTCATCTATATCACAAATTCACAACTCATTGGTCAGTTACCACAAACAGATTACAAAACAACAAAGCATGTCAATTCATTGTCAATGTCACTCGTCTGCCAAGTGTCAATTCAATGATATTCACAGATAATGATAATATTTTGTATTTTGTAAACAAAAGGCAAATTACGATTTTAAAAGAACTATTGTAAAACTAAAACAAACGTTAATTATGTACCTATTATATTAAATACGTATTAAATAAGGTGCCTCAAAATTATAATTTGAAGCTATTTCTTTACAGCACCTTTTGAGGTTATATTGATAAACCTGAAAAGAAAATGATATTTTCATGGGTACGTTCCTTTTTCTTTGAAAATAGTATACAATAAACATTATTGTATTTCACAACATATATTTTGCAGGGTGCTAACTCACACGGTCAACTTGGCCTTAGTACTGTAAACGAACAAGTAGAAAAGGCTCACCAGGTTCTAATAGATTCTGCTTTAAACGCAGTAGAAGTTAAACAAGTAGCTTGTGGCGGTGGACATACGCTCCTGTTGGATATCGAAGGTAAACTGTTTTCTTGTGGTTGGAATCATAAACTACAATTGGGAACAGATAAGGAATGCAGTTCCTTTGAAAGAGTATGGAACTTGGGAGGTATAGTTTTTACCAATATAGCATGCGGCTGGGACTTCAGCTGTGGAGTGACAGATGACAACTTCCTTTTTGTATGGGGTTCAAATAGTAATGGCGAACTGGGACTGCCAAAAGACCATTTCCCAGAAGTAGTCAAACCATTCAGACTGCAGGTCAATGCATGTGAAGTATCAATGGGTTTACGACATACAGCCATAATAAACTCAAAGGGTGAAGTTTGGATTACTGGGTGTGGAAGGCATGGACAGCTTGGACTAGGAGATGAGTTGAAGTCATCTGACAGATTCCAACAAGTACCAAAACTTGGCAAAATATCTCACATAGCATGTGGTCAGAACCATACAACTGCATGGTGTTCAGATGAAAAAGCACTGTATGTATGGGGGGACAATAGACATGGACAACTTCTACTGGACAAAGAAAAATATAAAAAAGTTTTCACTGCACAAAAAATTGACATTGGTGTAAAGCAAGGTGTGAAAAAGCTGCTTAGTGGCTGGACTAACAGCTTGTTGTGGCTTGAGAATGGCACTCTTATAACATGGGGACGAAACAATTATGGACAACTTGGTACTGATGAAAATATCTGTGGTAAATTAGTACATGTAAAAATACCAGGTAAGTCTTAGTCTAATCTTACCATAGCCTCTACTATTTTATTATTGTAACCCTTTATAATAATACTAATATAACTTATTTTACAGATGGTAAAGAAATTAAAGATATTGCATTGGGTTCAGAACACACTATTTGCTTGATGACTGACAACAGCCTTTGGGCTTGGGGTTGGAATGAGCATGCCAATACAGCTACTAAATTGGCAGAACCATTTATTTCAAACCCAACTCTGGTTGATTTAGACATAGATCCAAGTTTGTGCATTACCCAAATTTATGCTGGTAGTGCTCATAACTTCATTGTGACCAAACAAAGCGAAACTTCAAAAAAAGAAAGTGAAAAAACTGAAAATAAAGCTTCATAATCAAATACTCAAACTAATCTAGTCAGTTCAGTGATTTTAAAATGGTCAGACGACCTTAACCAATTTTATAAGGTGCTTTATATTGTATTATTATAATTAAAATGATTTTAATCTGAATAAAAATTGTTACATGTTACGTTGGATTTAATTCATTAAAATACCTTATCCTTAATTTTCAATAAAACATCATTGTTTTTATCACATACAAAATATTTTAATTCTAATTTTATTATATTAAGCTTTTATTAACTACTATTACTTACATCCCATGCTGTAATAATGGGGTCGAACAGGACAGTTATTGGCATCTGCTGCTGTATTACTAGTAGTCCTATGTATGTATAACTGCACGACTTAAAAATACTTATTTTCAATTTGTAATGCTGTTAAACATTGAACTGTATATGAAAAATACTTTCTGAACTGAAATGAATACTTATAATTAGTGCCACATTTTAAAACAACACACTTAACTTACTTCAAACTCAAGATCTTCAAGGCATGGATATGTAAAACTAAAAATTAAACCTATCTTAATGCTTCAATCAATAATCAAACAGAGTATTATTTTAGAATATGGACCTCAAAATGACACTGAAAAATCCTTATGGATTAAATTAGGTCTAAAAATAAACACAGACAAAAATTTAACCTTGCTGCTAAAATGTGGTCTCAAAATTAGAACTTAATTTATAGAAGTTTTCTGTTTACTTTTCCATTACAAGCAGTGTGTATAATGTAAGATATGATATAAGCATAATATGGGGCCTTTATATTGATAAATAAGTATTATAATACTTAAGGTATGTACCTACTATACAAAAGTTGAAAACAAGTGTTGACAGTTCTGACTGAGCAATAAAAAATCAAATCAAGTGTAAATCAACTCTGAAACTAATGATTTTAACCCATTATGTCGAAGCTTAACAACAAAGCATTCAATTTATTTCATTTAATAGGAAATCAACTCATTTAGAACAATGTTAAAATCTAAGTTTTTGTAAATAATAATATTAATGGTGCTAAAATTAAAAACAAGTTTAGCTGTTTGATGTTTTACTGAGCTATCTCTTTCTCTCCCCTTTTTGTGTTTTGCGTTTTTCCTTTTTCTCTTCTTTCATTTGTTTTTGCTTCTCCCTGAAATAAATTTAACATTTTATAAAATAAATAATTAAATATTTTTTTACTTCTGAAATTAAAAGATGAAATTGAAATCAAATGAAAAACTTTTGTTTAAATTAACCTGAAGTTTATTGTAACAAGAGAGTGGCGGAGGACAGAAGGCAATGGAAGGAGTTGGAGGAGGCCTTTGCCAGTAGGCACACCGAAAGTTTAGACATTTTGTGAAAGTTTTTTTAAGTGAAGTACCTATTTGTTTATACCGGTGCTAATCCTAAATTCAGAAAGTGTAAAATGTACATATTTTCGGAAATAAAAGGCTTATTATTATTATTGTAACAAGCCAACTTATTGCAGTAGTAGAATAATACATACCTATCTTCTTTATCTTTCTCCTTTTTCTTTTGAGCTTCTAAGCGCGCCTGCTCTCGCCGCTCGCGGGCAGCCGCTGCAACGTCCGCTGCATTTGTATTTTTTACTAAATCCCCACTTTCGGGTTCTTCAACATTTTCCTCATCATGCTAAAAAAACATAAGAAAACAAAATTAAATATATAAATCATACTTGTATACATTATTATTGTTATAAATGTAATTGGTATAGGTTATAATGTGTTTGGAACTAGACTATGCATTGCAAAAATAGTAACCTCATTATCAGACAGCTGGCTATATTGCGATAATATTGCATCACGTATTTTCTTTTCCTCATCAGTATATTCACGTCTTGCAGTAGCCGCAGGTGCTTGGGATTCCATCAACTTGGCTAGCTGCGCGTCGACATCTTTAGTCGGCTTAGGAGCTTCTCCCTTTGGTTTGCTTGCCTCCCATTTATCTAATATTTCAGTTACGTGTGTACTCGTATCATTTTCCTGCAAAATTATCCTTTATTAACTGATAAATCACAAATAAAAAGGTGCAGATGAAAAATTTGCACACTTACCACAATCTCAGCCAGTAAGCCTTCCAAGGCATCTTTTTTTTCATCGGCAGTTTCGTCACTTTCCAAAATGCCTGTTATGTATGATCCGAAAACATTTTCATCAGTTTTTAATGATTTTAATTTATCAATAAGCCACGGCTCAAAATCGCTCATTGCAGCCGCCATATTTTCAGACTGACGTTTTATTTTTTAAATAATCGCCATAACAACAGTGTTAACAGCATTGTTGTGTTCCGGCAGTTAGAGGTAAGATAGCCAGTTCCTCCGTGGTTGAGGATTCCGGGTGAAGCTCGCTTCCACCTTCGGCCTGATCGTCACTTACCATCAGGTGAGATACAGGCCAAGAGCTTCCTCGTTGTGTATAAAAAAAAAAAAAAAAAAAAATAATTAGAGCCAAACAAATAAAGATTCAACTCAACATCACGGTTTATCATAAAGGTGAAACCAAAAGATAATGTATTCAATTTGATAAAGATTGTATTAAATCAATTAATTATGCATTAGTTCGGTGATCAATCGAATAATTTACAAACAATAAATTACTTTCATTGAAGTCGTAGATTTTTTTGTTTCTGAACGTAAATATTTGAAAATTGAATTGTCATCGTGTGTTGGTGATGAACCATCATGGTGGTATTCAATTAGTAAATCGATTCCTATTTATACGAGCATGTTATTTGATGTTAGAAGATTTATCAGTAATTCAAGAATATAAAAATGTTCTAAAGTTGATATATTTTATTAATTAGGTACTACCTATTTGAAATTAGCAAAAAATATATTTATAATAAAGATGATATTTCATTGAATACTACGTGTTGTTCAATTAAGTTCTCGCTTATGCACATCACTAGCAAAAAAAACGCAAAGTCGGCGTTCGTTCATGACAATCATTTTCAACAAGAAATTATTTTCCAAGATTTCTCAGCAAAAATAGAAAAATGTCGGCCCGGTATGATAGAGCTATCACTGTATTCTCGCCTGACGGCCATTTGCTGCAAGTAGAGTACGCTCAAGAAGCTGTTCGTAAGGGGTCTACTGCAGTAAGTACTGTGCATTGAAATTGGTTATAAGTTCATCTTTGTACTGAATTTATAGAAATGCTATTTACATTTCAGGTCGGCGTTAGAGGAAACGATGTTGTGGTCTTAGGAGTTGAGAAAAAGTCGGTGGCAAAGTTACAAGAAGAGAGAACAGTGAGGAAAATATGTTTGTTGGACGATCACGTCGTAATGGCATTCGCCGGATTGACCGCTGATGCTCGAATCCTCATTAACAGAGCCCAAATTGAATGCCAATCTCACAAACTCACTGTGGAAGATCCTGTGACCTTAGAGTATATCACGAGATACATTGCCGGCTTGAAGCAGAAATATACTCAGAGCAATGGTCGCCGTCCCTTCGGTATATCATGTCTGATTGGTGGGTTTGACTATGATGGTCATCCCCACTTGTTCCAGACTGAACCATCAGGTATATACTATGAGTGGAAAGCTAATGCCACAGGGAGATCAGCAAAAACTGTAAGAGAATTTCTTGAGAAGAACTATACCCCAGAAGAAGTGGCTTCAGAAAAAGGTGCAGTGAAGGTAAGCATCTCTTTACAAGTTAGGTATCAAGATAAGAGTTCCCTGTTTATAACTTATCAGTAAAATATAATACAATTGAATGAGATACTTTTGTATAGTGTTGTATGTTATTATTGATATTTACACTAAACTTCTTTATATCATCTTGCTTCAGCTGGCCATTCGTGCACTTCTTGAAGTGGTTCAATCTGGACAAAAGAATTTGGAAATAGCTGTGATGAGACGCGGGCAACCTATGCAAATGCTAGACTTGGAAACTATCAACTCGTATGTATCAGTGATTGAAAAGGAAAAGGAAGAAGAGGCAGAAAAGAAAAAGCAGAAGAAGTAATAAATAAACTAATGTTATTATTTACTTTAACATCTTTTTAACATTAAATTTGTAAAAATTAACCATGTTTGTTTTATAAGCAGTTACCTAATCATTTAGCAAGTCAATGGTCCTGGAAATTTGTGAGTAAAGTTCCTTCAAATCAGAACCACATTCTTGGTTATTTCCTCTGTTTATCATTATATCACTAAACATTTGGTCCCACTCTCCATTGTACTGGTCTAAATTTTCATTCTCCTTCTGAAATGACAATAGAAATATAAAAGACACAAACAACAGTGACAAGGCAAGAATATACATTATACATGACACAACAGAAACAAACACATCAAAATCAGTCCAGCATTAAGTAAAGTCACACAAATATGAATCTACCTCAGTCATAGTGACATCATCGTTAGGGTCACTGCTAATGGATGGTAGAACACAATTCAATGAGCTATGCTCATTTTCTTTATCATCTCTCCCCATTCCTTCATGGGCATCTATATTGAATTCAGCAAGCAGCTCATCACCAGTTTTGTCATTTGGCTCTGGGTCTAAATCCGGCATGCTCAAGAACTGCACCGGAAAATCATTGTTCTGTTGGTTTGAGTCGTCCTTGAAAGGAATAAAATTATCCTCCTGACTGGGATTCCTGAAATAAGGGGGGTAAAAAAATAAATCACCATTATAAATTAAGAATTCTGGTATTCAAGTCCTCTACTTTACCCAAAATTGGCAGTATCCCCAGTTTGAATAATTTGGGACTTGTCCTTTGATTCAATCTTCTTGGCTAAAGAGGAGAAAGAAATTATAGGCTTAGGAAGTAAGGAATTAGGAAAAGGAAAAATCGGATGCGGAGTAAAGAACCTGGTAGTTGAGGCTGTTCTGTTGTTTTATCAAAATTTTTTGCTATCAGCCAATCAAGTTCAATATTTTCCTCATTATCACAGAAATCTTCTTGAGGATCTGATGGAAAAAAAAAGTTACTTTATTAGGAGTAGATTAAATAAATATGTATCAGTAACTTGGTATTAAGTGATCTCCCATGAAGTCAATTTACCTTCGCATTCGAAATTAATATTGTATAGAGGTTTTGGTGAATTCTGGACAAATAATTCTTGAGCAGCCTTCTTTAGCGCTTCACGTAAGGCTCTTCGCGCTTTTTGTAGAGGAGAAAGGTAAAGCAGTGGGTCTGTGTTGCTGTAAATACTCTGTAAGATTTTAAATAATAAGTACCATTTGATTTAATAATTCAGTTTTAAATGAACTAAGAAGAAACTTGCACAAACCTTAGGCTTAAAGTTTTTTCTCATTGCTAGGGCTTTTCTTGTTATTTTATTTAATAATTCTGGTCTGCCGTATTGAAAATAATCATGAACATATTCATGCATGTACGGGTTACAAGAATTACATAGTGGGTCTTGTAAATGGGACGTAACTTTACGAAAACCATATAAATTCAATTGCCTTACAAAGCTAGAAATATTTGTTGTTTTGAAAATAGAGTGATCACATTGCAAGTAATTATGAAGAACGCGATAATTTAGAAGAATTGTACGACCAGTACCGCCCCATAAAATAGCATCAGTTCGCATATTTAGTAGATACCACAACTTTTGTGGGAATCGCATTTGAAAAATTGCATTTTTGTCTTCTTGCATTATTAGTAATTTTAATACAATTTAGAGAGTAACACTTTCTTCTTATCTTCCTTTGAGTAGACTTTCCAAGTTGATGAACCATTTGAAAATGGCGCCTACTGACATGACATATTCAAGTTTTTTTTCTTCTATATTCCCATAGAGTATAGGTATTCCTTTTTGCTTTTTTGAGCTTAGTTTAAAGCTATTATTAGAAGCAGGTCATGTCGTGCCTCAATAAAAGAAGAAGTAAGCGTTCTCTACGTAATCTGTGAAGTAAGCTCAAAAGAAGTAAAATGTCATTTAGTTTGACTGACAGCTGTTTTTGTTTGTTTATTTTCAATCAAAGTGAATTTGCGACAAATCAAAATAATTTGTACTTACGGCAGTTTTCAAAATGAAATCTATTGATTTATAACATTAATACAAGGTTAAGGTTCTTATGGCATACTTATTCGTCTGTATTAGTACATGCATTGTTTTATAAAATGGAGAGACGCAAAGCCAGCCCGGAGCAGCTAAATATGTTGTTACATTTTTTGGAAGAAGATAAAGAACTAGCTATTGGTAAATTTACGGGTTTGGAGGGAAGAATTCGTCAGACCAATGCTTGGATAAAAATTACTGAAAAGTTAAATGCCAATTCTGGATTTGGTTCCGGCGCTATAAAAACCCCCGATAAATGGCAACAGGTAGGTAATTTCATGTTTTTAAGCCTCACATTATTAAAATATTATCTACTACACTATAAGATACACTGATATGCATTTTAAAATTATTTTTCATTGTTTTTGCAGACTTGGCGTGACTGGAAATCAAATGTTAAGAAGAAAGCATTTAAAATTCGTAAAAGTCGCTTCACTCCTGGTTGCAATACAAACACTCAATTAACAGAGGCTGAAGAAAAGATATTGAGGCTCATATGCACCAACACATCAGTCTTTGGACTTGCTGGAGTTCCTGAGACTTCTGCATTACCTGACAACACTATTGTAAGTCTGCTTTTTACAGATCAAATTCAAAACGTTTATTGCATGCAGATAGCTCTACCTTCCAAGGGATAGCCTATTTAAAAGAGCTTTAATGACATGAAAGTTCAAAAATGATTTCTTTTTGTCTTAAAAAAACATTGTTAAAAATAAAAGATATTTTTATGATGAAATTGAATTAATGTTTAATAATTTATTTCAGATACCTTCACATTCACAAGCCAACTCTAGTGAAGTTTTATGTAATGATGACCCAAGTACTAGCACTATGGTATGGTAATTATTAATAAATAGCCTCATATTATTAACAAGATCTTGTTTGTAACATGATGTTTTTTTGTAGAAATGGCCGACTGAACCACAGCATTATACACCAGCTGATATAGATCTCAATTTAGGGGATGGAGTACCAACTGATACTGACACAAGCATGGGACCTAATGAAGTTTTGTCTGCACCAGTTACATCAAAACCTATTTGGAAGAGGGGAAGACCAGTCAGTAAGTATGAGACCTGACTAGTCTCTCAGATAGGACAAAAAACATTTATTAAACATAACAAGTTTAGTATAGTTTGTCCATATGGTATAGATAGCTTAATTGAATTTCCATTTTCATGATAGAACACCTTTATCTTCACAGGACTTGTTCATGACAGACTTTTAAGTTTGGAAGAAGAAAGGATAAGAATTGAGAAACAGAAACTCTTGGAAAAGAAAAGATGTAATAATATAAGATTAAAAATGGAAAGAGATAGACTTGAAATTGAAAGACAAAGAAACCTTATATTAGAAAAGTAAGTAACTCAGCTACACACAAGTAGCAGCATTCAATCAGTAATAAAAATAAGTATTTAAAAACTTCTCATACTAGACTAAGTAGATCTAATAGTGTTTTTTTTATTTCAGAATTTTGATTGCTGTTGAAAATGTGGCACATCGTTAACTTATGATAATTTATAAAGAAACTATACTCTGATTTTTAATTCGACGGAATTTTGACATTTCAGAAGTGTTGCTAACACTGAAACATTCCCACTAAGAATGGAGAGCATTTTCACAAATTAAAAAATAATCCTTTCTTGAATTTAAGGTTTCACTTGAAAAACTAAGGCTTAAAAATGTACTGATCATTTCAAAATGGTTATTTGAATTTTTATTATCATATTTTTGAAGTTACAAAAAAAATTGGGAAATTATTTTTCTATTACTGGACTCCCTGGCCAATAATCCATGGGTTACAAACCTTTTTTATGAAAATCCTTTTGTTAATAAAATCTTAGCTTCATAAAATAACCAATTTAACAAGATGCCAATTTTATAATCCAAGTTGGTTATGATGACGATAATGATGGTTGATGATCAATACATATTTTCGTTTATGATAATATGTTGTTTCTGTGTTAAAAACACGTTTTTTTTTTATTTAATCTCTAAAATGTACATTATAATTAGTGTACATTGATTTCACAAAACAAACAATAGTTCATTCTTGTAAGTTGTACTTGATGAAATTTCATTTCATATTATTTATTAATAATTCAAAGCAAAAAAGGCTTATTACCTCTGAATTGTCAAAAAATGACAGCTGTCAGAATTCCGTCGAATTAAAAATCGGACTTTAGTATCGTTAAGCATATTGTTAGTTGTAAGTATGTGATATTACAAAATTAAAATATATTTTCTGATATTTATTCTTGCTTTCTGTTACTATTGTACTTGTGTTCTAAAAACTCGATCATGCTCCAATGTTCCAAACTATAAATACCTAGACTATTATGTAAGTTGGTGGGACTGAAAACCACAAATTTTAATGATTTTATTAAATACCAATTCTAAAAATCTAGCAAGTGATTATTATGGAACTTTATAAAAATAAAATGTCTATAACTCTAAATGTTATCTGTTTTAATAAATTATTCTCAAAAACATCCATAAACAAGATTTCGTTCATAGAAATTGTAGAAAGATTATGTATGTACGAGGATCAAGTAATAAACTATCCGATTCTGCGCTGGTAGCAGTTCTCAATATTCATTTCAGTGCCTGTACTGCCTCTAGAATCTACAGTGTAGATGAACACAGTAATGCATGTAATAAAAATGAACTTTTGTGCTCATCTGTGCATTTGTGAGGATCTGAGCCCCGATTACGGTAACTTTTAACGTTTCCAATCCAGACGCGCTTCTGATTCTGCAATACGATTGGTCAAAACAGCTGACGTACGCTGTTGAACGACCAATCGTATCGCAGAATCGTGAAGCGTGTCTGGATTGGAGACGTTAAAAATTACCGTAATCGGGGCTCTGAACAAGTGGGAACAAGTCTATGAGAAAACGGAAGGACCCCACGTGATGGTTTCCGTTGTGGCCAAAAGCAAACCGCGAAAGCCAGGAAAGAAAAAAAGTTATTGTCTTTGTTCTGTCACTGTCAAAAGTGATAAATTTAAAAGTCAAAACGAAAAAAAGGCGGGAAACTTCGAAGTGGCAAGGCGCGCTTCCGAAAGTTTTAAATTAATAAAACTAAATCTGTTAGATTTTTGTTGTTAGGAAAGTTTATTAAGACGATGGGGAGGGGTAGTAAAAAAAGGAAAAAAGTGGAGGTCACCGATTTGGATCCGGGCGATCGCAGCAACGGCGATACTAGTTCATCAGATTCCGAGGTGGAGGATGGTCAGGGAAGTGTTCTTGTTCCGTATTATGTTACTGACTACACCAGGTTATACCCAGAGGACTCTGCAGCTTTTGAATTCGTAGTCTTCATAGAGTCAGCTGATAGCCAGAGGCCCATTGGTACCAGAGATTTATTATCTCTTTCCAACGTTCTGAGAAGGTACAATAAAGGCGTTAAGTATTTGAAAGCACTCAACAAGTACAAAATAGGAGTCTACTTTGAAAAGCCAGGTCTAGCCAATGCACTACTGAATAATAAAACCTTCTTAAGTGATAATCAGTTCAAAGCCAGCATTCCAGCTTCATCCACCGAAACCACGGGGATAATTCGAAATGTGCCTATAAAGTACAATAACAAAAAAATCTTTACCATGTTGAGCAGTAGCAAGAAGATTATCAGCGTTCGCAGATTCTTCCGCAAAGACACCACAACTGAAGGTTTCTCCCGTCAGCCCACAGGGACAGTCGCCATCACTTTTGCGGCGACGACCCTGCCAGACTTCGTGGAGCTGGGCGGCTGGAGGCACAGCATCACCCAGTACATCCCTCCAGTTAAGCAATGTTACCGCTGCCAGAGGTATGGTCACATTTCCAAGTATTGTAAGAACGAGGAACGGTGCTCAATTTGCAGTAATGGACACAATTATAAAGATTGTCCAACTCCTAAAGAAAATGCAGTATGTTCTCATTGCAAAGGAAACCATATTAGTATTTCAGCACAATGTCCAATAAAACAAAAGAAAATACAAGAAAATAGAGTGAAATTTGTTAAAGCTCCCACTTATGCAGACATATCTAGTAAACAAACCTTTCCAGAATTAAGAACAAATAATAAATACTTATCAAAGCCTGAAAACAACTTAATGTCTATATTGAACTCTGATGCAACGGTAATGAATCTTTTAATAGAGTCAATAGTTAAAATTATAACATTAAATAAAAGCAACAACACAACTATTTCATCCAAAAACATTTTAGATATTCTTACAGACACTTTCAGTAAAAATTTTAATTCATCAAATTCGAAGACCAAATAAATATAGTTCAATGGAATGCTCAGAGCTTTCTGTGCAATCGCAATTTATTTACTAAGTTTATTTATGATAATTGTATAGATATTGCTGTAATATCTGAGACTTGGCTTAAGCCTACTCACAAATTTAAGGTTAAAGGTTATAAAATAGAGCGAAATGACTGTGGAAATGATCATAATGGAGTAGCCATTCTGATTCATGAAAGAATTCAATATTGTAGACTTCAAACTTATTTTGATAACTCATTACAAAACTTAGCAGTTCAAATCACAATCAATAATAAATCATACACAATAGTTTCAGTTTATTGTCCTACTAATAGTACACCTAGATTTCATATAAAGAAATTTTCAGATTTAATAGTAAGTTTGCCAAAGCCAGTTATTGTAGCTGGAGATTTTAACGCCCATCATACCATATGGGGCTGTAACACTGTAGACAGTCGAGGACGAGATATTTTAGATAGTTTAGATGATTGTGATTTAGTTTTATTAAATGATAAGCAGGCCACGACTGTGGGAACACATGTCTGGAGACCGAACGGACTCGACTTGACTATGGTGAGCCCCTGTTTAGCTTTATGCTGTGACTGGAAAGTGCACGATGATCCACTTGGTAGTTATCATTTACCCACCATAACCTCAATACAACTATTACCAACTGCATCGCAACCACGTCTAACATACATGCCAGCAGGTACTGATATCCCTGATCATCCTAATCTTAAACTAGTTAATTGGAAACATTACTCAAAGTTAGTCAATGAAATGTTGAATGATTTTACAGTGTCTAATAGCAATGTTTTGGAATTGTACAACAACTTTTGTGACATCATCAAGTCAGCTGTAAATATGTCAATGCCAAACTCAAATAAAAAAAGTCAATCTCAACGTTTCGTTCCACACAGATCGTCAGTTATAAAGTCTAAACGTCTTTCGGTTCCTTGGTGGAATGATCGCTGTGCTAATGCTGTACAAAACTCGAAAGAAGCTTACGTGCAATTCAAAAATGACCCTACTCCTGAAAATTATGTACATTTTAAAAAATTACAAGCCCTGAAAAAGCGTGTTATTAATACAGAAAAAATTGAGAGTTGGAAAGAATTTTGTTCTAATTTAAATAGAGTTACTCCCATATCTCATATTTGGAATACTTTACGTAAATTTAATAAAAGTAATAATTGCAAGTTTTCGCAGAACGATTCTTGTCCGCTTTGGGTTCATGATTTTCTTACGAAATACACTCCAGACCATGCAGAATCGCCACCATTAGATTTCACTAATCATACAGCAAGTAATGCAAATTCTTATCTGTTAAGCATGTTTACATTTACTGAGCTTATATCAGCGATCAAATCACGAAAGGACACCGCTTGCGGCAATGCTTGCGGCTTGGATTTTATCTCTTACAAAATGTTAAAAAAATTAAATAAAGAAAACCTATTAAAATTTATATTTAATCATTAATAGTTTGTGGAAGGAAAATCTGATTCCAGGTCAATGGAAGACTGACTGCTTAGTTCCAATATTAAAACCGAATAAAGATAAAAATTGTCCAGACTCTTATCGTCCGATAGCTCTAACGTCGTGTGTAGGTAAAATTTTTGAACAATTGATAAAACAGCGTCTGGAGTTTTACATAGAAAGTAATAATTTGCTTCCAAGCAATCAATTTGGGTTCAGACGTGGGCGTTCCGCTCGTGAAAGTTTAGGTTGTTTATACACAGATATACAAAAGGCTTTGAAAGAAAATAACTATCTAATCTGCGTTTTCTTTGATATTGTCGGTGCCTTTATCAATGTCAATCTTACTGTGTTATCATCGATTCTCTCTTCATTAGGTCTTCCAAGTTCCAANACTGCAACTATGGGTTCTGATAGTGGTGGATCTGCTAATTCTCAGAAAAAAAGAAAGTTAAACAAGACATCAACTGGTGAACTTTCTGATGATGATGATGACAGAAAATATGCACCATACTTCAAAAAGAATCACATCCGGAGTTATCCCGAGAACTCTCCAGGGACAGTATATCCAGTTTTTATTCAGAGCATTCATGATGACATTAAATTTGGAAATAAAGATCCAATTTACTTAAACACAATATTCAGTAGATACAACAAAGGTGTTAAGGAAATCAAACGAATCAATGCATTGCGGTATGCTGTATATTTCGATAACCCGAAAAACGCCAACTCTTTACTGTCTAATTCGGCCTTTCTATCATCTCACGAAATCAAGGCATTCATTCCTGCCTCCAACTCAGAGCGAACAGGAGTAATCAAATTCATTCCAACTGAATTGAGCAACCGGCATCTTTTTGACAAATTGATCAGTTCGCAGGAGATCTTGGCTGTGAGGAGATTCACCAAGAGGACCCCTGAAGGTGTCGTCCCTTTGCAGACCGTCTCAGTCACCTTTGCTGGTAATGTTCTACCTGAGCAAGTAAGTTATGGTCTATGCATACTCCCTGTGGAAGAATATATTAAACCTGTGTTACAATGTTTCAAGTGTCTTGGCTTCGGTCACACAACTAAATTCTGTAAGCGCAATGTTGTTTGCTCTATTTGCTCTGAGTCNTATACATATGATAGCTCTCGTTAAAGAATATTAACGAAGAGTGTGTTTGGTGTGTCTATAGCCCAATTCGACGTTTGACCGACCGAACTGGGCTTGACTACTGTGTACACTGTTCGCAGTTACAACGTGTGTCGTGAGGCGAGTCTTTGCAACACTCTATAAATTAATATAGAATGCTAAAAAAACACACCCACATAGCGCTCACAGAGGCGCCCACACTGAACGTTCGCATAGACATAACATTCATTCATCACATTTTATAATAAAATCTAACAAATTTCGTATCATGAACGATATGTCAGCCCGGTGTTGGAAAAACCACCCTACCTCNCTACCTAAATAGAATCTATTAGTGTAAAAAAATCGACTCCAAAACAAACTGCACTAGATAAGTAAAAGTAGAAAATATATTCCGTTATTTATTTACTAGGTCAAATTTATACCATCCCAACTAATATTATAAATGCGAAAGTAACTCTGTCTGTCTGTCTGTCTGTCTGTCTGTTACGCTTTCCCGCTTAAACCTCGCAACCGATTTTGATGAAATTTGGCATAGAGATAGTTTGAGTCCCGGGAAAGAACATAGGATAGTTTTTATCCCGGTTTTTGAAACAGGGACGCGCGCGATAAAGTTTTTCTGTGACAGACAAAATTCCACGCGGGCGAAGCCGCGGGCGGAAAGCTAGTGATTTATATTTCGGTGGCAGCACTGGCAGCCTACGGTTTGGTAATATGTTTTGAGTTGGTTTTAATTTTTAGTGAACATTAATTTATTTCATGCTTTTGTTGTTGTTGACCCTGTTGTTGCTACTGAAAGTCGACATTGAGACCATATTTTTTATGTTAAGTGCTGTTTTCTATACATATGAAAAAAAGGGTCTTGACNATCTAACAAATTTCGTATCATGAACGATATGTCAGCCCGGTGTTGGAAAAACCACCCTACCTCTCACGATTTGTCGACACCATCACTACAGAGACATACATAGTTGAAATGTTTGCGTGTTGTGAGTGTGTGCTATAGAATACATAAAAATATACACATATTCGATACGCTGATGTAAACGCTAAAAAGCCATCATCGCCCTTATGTAAGGTTAATGTGGCGGGAAGCGTTACAACGAAGCGTATTAAAAAGTGGCCAGTCGAAGCGCGTATGCAAGCACAGATGACTGCACATAGCGCGGACACATTGCCCGAGTGAGACAGATCTTTATTACGAATTCGATCATACAACCCATCCGTAGATCTACAAAGTTTAACAAGCGTCCAATGAGCCACACTAACTAAGTCCCGTCAATCTCATTGAACATCCGAAACCTCAGACGCCAACAGAGTGTACATACAGAGTGAAAAAGTTAAAGTTTCATCAACTCTTTCACCACTTTGCTTTAAAAACACAACTTATAAACGCACCGATCCGTCGTACGCAGAGTGTGCGCGCGCGCATCATGTTTATAATACATTTGAGCGTGCGCGCGCGCTCTGCGCACGGCGGTCGCTGTGTTACTGATCTCGCTCGGCCGGTCGCCGCCGACGTTGCGTTTGTCTGTACACTCTCTCGGTTCTCGAGTGGAAGCCGCGAATGGAAAAGAAACATTTTTAACGCTATGCTCGTACGCTGCTGCGCACGCGCAGCTTTAAACGCTAAGTGTAAAAAAAAAAAAAAAAAAAAAAATTCAAAGTGACACACCCCCTATATGTATAACCAGATAATTAATAATTTAAAAAAAATATATTAAACTTTAAAAAGTTAGGTTAGATTAGGTTAGGTTAGGTTAGGTTAGGTTAGGTTNTGAATTGGATACTGTAAGGAAACATCGTCATCATCATTTTAGCTACTGGACGTCCACTGCTGAACAAAGGCCTCCTCTAATGATTTCCACATCGCCCAGTTGATAGTGGCCTGCACCCAGCGTCTTTCAGTCAGTCCATCTTGAGATTTTAGAAAAATTCCCACTCGTCACAGTAGGAACAAAGCTAGGGATGACCCACGCCTAGCGGTTACAAGTCCCGGTACTAAGGAGTGTTACTGAATTCCCGGTACCAGGTCTAAGCCAGTACCGGGAAAACCGGGAAATTCGGGAATTTCGGTACCCACGTGAATGGTTATTATTTATTAAAAACAAATTACCTAATTTGTACGTAATTTTAATAAAAATGTAAATAGGTTACCAAAAATATTAAACTTTTTCTGTTCAGTTCAATTGGTTTGTTACCTTAATAATAAATCAGTCCAAACAGTTACACAACACGACAAAACTAGTTATAAATGCCTATTAAAAATCATAACCGCCATATTCATAAAAAGCAACAATCGTTTAATCAACCTATTTTAGTTAAAATATGTTTTCTCACTTTCTATCAATGTCAAATACTGGCAGCGACAAGAGTTAGAGTAGGCGCACACCGTTGATTTTTAGTTGGCCGATAGTTGTGCCCGATTTTAATTTGTACTAGCTGACCCGGCGAACTTCGTACCGCCTTAGCGTAGAGATTTTCTTTATATTTTTTTCCGTAAAAACCTTGTACAGAGTATTAGAAAACTACAAAAAAAATCAGCCAAATTGGTCAAGCCGTTTTCATGTTATGTCGTGACAACGGAAAACGGGTTTCATTTTTATATATATAGATGAAGAATCGGCCAAATCGAATCGGCGCGGCGTAGTGTGCGCACTCCCATACATGCCCATACTGATCAACTGCCGGACTAAACTATCGGCCGACGAAAAACAACGGTGTGCGCCTACTCTTAGGGACAAAACATAAATTAACTAAATTAGGTTTATAAAAAAACACGCTGTTGAAAGAAATAATAAGTAGTATCTAAGTTCAATCAGATAAAACAATCAGTCTTAAAAGGATAGTAGGTAATGAATTATGAACATTATTAATATTTTTTCATTTGTTGATAGTGTGTGCGTAAAAAGATGATGGCATCTAGTCAAAAAATTGTTATTAAAAATAAATTATTGAAGTCCCGAAAGTACCGAAAGTCCCGGGAATTGCATCGTCAGTACCGGAACTAGATAAAGGATTAGATTATCGGGAATTCCCGGGAAAAATGAGTACCGGGATTTCCCGGGAGCAAACCCTACCCACGCCTTCACTCCAGAACCAATAAAATAACTGAAAGTCAGAAACTTTCAGTTATTTTATTGTCTCTATTGTTTACTATCTAAGTGGTTGAGTACACGTATAATAGCAGTGAGGTAGAAGTTACGGGACTATTCCCACCTCTCCTTTTCACCGCTGCATCTCCTGTGTAGCTAGCACCTAGACTAGTTGATTTAAAGCCAAGGTATATCAGTTTTTAGGTAATGACTTAGTGCATCTAAAAATGTAAAACTTTCTAGTTTTTTGTAACATTGAAAAATCTAAAAAGAAGCATCATTTTTTTTACGTTCAAGTGTTTCTAAGAAATTTAAATGGAAGCTTTTGATGACAACGTATTGCTTACTTTTTCAGCTATCGAATGAATCACTTTTATACTCATAGGTCCTGTACATCGGTAGATTTGGTAAATAAATGAATCCATCCGGACTCAGAAACTAAAAAAAATAAAATAGCTGTACGTTTTTAATACTGGATTTGTCGATTAAATTGATCATATTACTGCGCNGGTAAATGTATGTACCTAAATGTCTATTACAGCTGCTATTGAATGTATCTAGGTGACCTGGAGATACAGCCTGGATTATACAGGGTGGAAACGAGAAGTTACAAAATCCAAAAATTCAATGTTACCAGCTTCCATAATCTGTAACCTATTATTGGTACCATTTGAAAGAGCTCGTGAAGCACTTTCAGAATCAGTAACTAGTTTTTCGATATCTTGTATAGTTTAGAAATAATCGAGTGAGATCACTTATCGTTCCATATGTATAACCACCCTGTATAATCCGGCTGTATCTCCAGGTCACCTAGATACATTCCATAGCAGCTGTAATAGACATTTAGGTACATACATTTACCAATTTTGGTGATAAATAGGCATTTTGTATTAGTTTTTGTATAACGCCTAAACAAAAACAAAGGGTAATATTTTGGTGTTATACATGGATTTCGAATATAAAAAATATATAATTTAACTAATTAAGACATGACAAAAAAACTGAGGTATGTCTCGTTTCTGTCGGGTCTGGGTTTTTTTTGTATGGGGCGTGACCGTTCTTCTTTCTAGTGTAAATAAAGTCCAAAATTCTTCAATTTTCTTCACACATAAAAATGTCAAAAGAGTATCCGTCTCACTCACACACTATCACAATAGACGGCGCCGAACGGAACACGAACTTCTTCGGGCTCCGACACGAACCCCTTAGGGCTCCGAGACGTCCTCCTTAGGGCTCCAACACGACTCCCTAGGGCTCCGAGCGTGTCTCCACCAGATGGCGCCACTTCAGTGCAGCACCACCATCATCATCTGATGTTCCTCAACCAGTTGGTTGCCCTGACAGCACCACAGCTGGTACTGTCAAAACTGATGTCAGCAGCTCCTAGCTGACCCAGCTTCTTCACCTGTCCTGTTTGCGACAGCGATCCACTGTCCAGGACGTCACCTCCCTCCAAAAATGCACAAAGTGTGATCCCGGCACCTGCACCGTTACCAGTGCCCAATGGACATCAGCTTCCTGATGATATCCGACTCGACAGGACCATGAATAAACCACGGATACTCTCGGCGCACTTAAGGGACTCTTATCTAGGTATAAATAAGACGTCAATATTTAGGTGACAATTTATTGCTTGACACAGGTTGTCAATGGTTCTCAAAGGTTAACAGATGTCAAAATACTCCAGGTATATAAAGCCAGGGAAAAAAATCTGGACACCGCGGTACAACTTTACGCGTCTCAAAGAGCAGTGACATCTCTCGGCAAATAACACAAACAAGTTTCATGGTAGGTTTATACACTCACTAATGAGCGCGTTTGATAAAAACTCACACTAGGCCCTCATATCTGACCAGTGTGGAGAGTAAAAGTCAAATCTTTCATTTGTTCCATTTGCCTATATGGTTAGAGTCATGCTCCTGCCGTGGAAAAATGACCTGACGATGATCATGGGTTATGGCACTCACCTGACTTTAAGATTGTGTAATACGGCCGGCTCGTGCAGATACGACAGCGATGTGAGGTCGTTCTGGCCGATAAGTAGCGACGGGTTACGGAGCGGGGGCATCTGCTCATCTTTAATCTGTGGATAAATAAGGATAACATAAAACAATACAACTTCAAATAAAGCTTTCTTTACTCATCTTTGTCTAAATAAGTATATTGCCTATTTTTTTATTTTATAATAAGACAATTCATATCAAAGTGGGCTTTCAAATGTGTGCATATACTTTTGTCATTGACTGTACACATTTAGTTCATTTAGGATTGTTTTTATTGTAAACAAAAATAATTTTAAAAAATCACTTAAAGTATATTTAATGTTCCAAGAAAGTTAAAAAAATCCTTAGGCATCCTCATCAAGACCTTTAAGGAGCTAAGAAAATTGGAATAATAATGAAAAAAAAGCACTAGAAATTACTTCATAAAATAATTATATGGACACCCTGTATTTTCATAATAAATAGTCATAAAAATCAAATTACTCACTTTTATTTGTCGTATCTCCCCAGATTGATCTAATTTCACAATAAGCACTCCGGACCGGTAATCTGACGTCACCGTGGCACTTTCCCACACCTTCTCCGGATGTTCCACCCATATCCGGGCATCCTGAAATAAATTCATAGCATCCCTTTGTAAATTCTATTTGATTCAAGTTCTTGGCGGATAAGTGAAGCGTCATGTTCAGCAGATTGATGTGTAATAACGGTGGATTAATTATTAACCATTAAGTTTAAATGACCATGCATGAGTGTAGGCATATGAAACAAATAAATCATTTTTCAAGTTCTCTCAAGAAGTCTCAGTAAGTTACATCATAACTGAAGCTCAGAAGAAAAGAGGGGGATATCATTCATCATCATTAATTAAGTTTAGGGTAATTAATTATCTTAAATTAATAAAACCTGAAGACTTGGCTGTATGGCTTAATGCCTATATCTAAAAAGGAAAGAATTAAAAAAAAATTTTTTCAAGTAAGTACAGTCAGCTGCAAAAATTTATTTTGAATTTTTTTATAAAACAAAATGTGTAAATAAAATTATATTTTTTTAATTAAAAAATATTTATTAAATCTTTAAGCTAAAAACTTAAATCAAATTAATAAAAAAATTGAACCAATCATCTACAGGAGCTTTAAAAAGTCTAATTGGTTATTTAATTGCAGCAGTGCTTTTTATTCTAGGTGATACCTACTAAACAGGTAAAATCTTCAGATTAATAATACCATTGATATTTGACATTTAGACCAAGAAATTCCAACAACCATGCGGAAAAATTAATCAGAAGCTTATTAGAATTGACGCTGCATAATCTGTTTCACATTAACTTGAATCAGAAGTGTTTAACAAAAAAGCATTCTAAATTCAAAAATGCAATTTATTATCTACAATACAGTTTGATGTAATACAAGTGATTACAATCATAAAGATATAAACCAGTCACATCCTGTTCATTTACATAGCATTAAGCAGTAATTAGCACCAAAATAAAACATGTAATTAAGTAGCGTTTGTATCCATTGGCCATTAAATTGCTCTAAACATTGTGTTTAAATAATTCATAAGATACAAGGCACTGAAACATCTCATGCATGATGACATAGATAGTAAAAGTGGTATAATTATTATGATTTTCTGCACTGGCTCACATATTTCCATTGGATGGATGTGATTAAAGAAAAAAACAAACGTGCCTTCCTGTTCCAAATTCAAAATCAAAATAGGGACGTGCCAAAAAACAAAATACAATCAAAACATAATGTTTCAAAAATTACCTTTGTGTACAACTCTTTCGTAGTCATGATTTGTGTTGATTAAATATCCAATTAAATTAATTATTTCACCACGAGCTCGGAACTTATAGAATACATTTTAGAAACAAGGTAGATTCGAAATTGCTAATTTTTCAATGCGAAACGTCACTGATTGTTATTGACATTTTGGGACAGTGTTATCAGCTGTTTTATCAATATGTCATCTCCCGCTTCGATGGGAGCGGAATTGGAAATGAGATGAACGCGAAACTTCCTGATTCCCACTAGGAAATGGAATCCAATAAGAAACTTATTAGATAAATCATTCATAAAAACATGAATACGAAACAATACGGAAAGTGGGGAAAGTGCTTATCAAAAAATTCCCACGGGTGTTGCCATGATAAAATTTCAAAATATAGGTCAAACTTGCGTTCCAATCCACGCTATTTGCGTTCGTATTTTATTAAATAACATTTGGAGAAATAAATGATTTATTGTAGTAAAAAAAACTCAAAAATTGTGCTGAGTAATTTTATTTTTCTACTTTCATAAGTATCTTAGTCCAGCCTTTAAATATTGTAATAATTTACAAAAACTACAACTAAAGCTTTAATTCTTATAATAATTACATTTAAATCAAAGTAATGTTACGTTTTTGATTACACAATCAATCAATCCGATTTCTAGCTATTGTCGTAAAGGATTCTACTGTTTCGTCTCGGTTCACTTGTTTTCTTGAGAAGGGAACCACGCCTGACACGCTTCTGTAGCAATTTCACAGAGAGCAGTGAAGGTTTTGCCCCTAGAGTCGTAATCTGAAAGGAAGAAAATAATATCAGTATCTAACTAAAAAACAATTTGCCTTTGAGGAAAATCTGACTAAAAGATGGACACAACAAGATGCGTGTATTTAGCGGGGTGGCCGTGCCCACCTCAGAAGGGTCTAGTGCCCACCCCAGAAATGTTGGTCTTCGAAGATAACTTCACTTTTAAGTAATTCTCTTCTGTTAAATCAATAACTAGAACAGCTTGATACGCCAATGGTTAAATCAATAATTAGAACCATAACTTAGTGATGAAATGGTGGTTCAATTCAAAATAAACAGTCGGGAGTACTTTAACTTATGAAACCCTTACTAAACTAAATAGATATAGGTAATATCACAATCACAAATTCAAAAATATTCCCTATTACGCTTACCAGAAGGTCCCCTCTTCCCGAACATGATCCCGTTCATTGGCGCGTTCTTGTAGTTGGCTTCTCCGAGCTGAACCAGGGAGAAGAGCACCATCAGGGCGCAGAACACGGCGATGGTGAGTCTCAACATGTCGCTGGCCATCTGTAACAATCGTGGAAAAGTAAAGAAAACAAGCTGTATGTCTCACTGGAGGGCGAAAGGAGAGATCTACTTACTTCCTTCAGAGTTGAAGAAAATGCTTGTATATTCACAAAAAAGAGTATTATTTCTAATTTAAGCTTTCTAGTTTAGGGACTTGCTCCTAGCTTTTTGAATTAAAATTATTTAGACTTGACATGATTTGCAAAATTAAAACATTCACTATGAACTTGTAAAAACCACAACTTTTTACTGGAAAGGGATGCGTAAATCACTATAGCGGTTCTATGGAAACTCAGAAAACATAAGAAAAATCATGAACTTCGTGTTCGAAAAAAAGTCAATCGATATAAAAACTAATGCGTACCTTTTTGAAATGAGTTTGTTTTGAGACTTGAGCTGGTATCACTGCCGAAGTCGAGCTGTCAACTGATGTCACTGAAGGATTTTCCCGCCATTTTATACCGGGAGATTCAAAGATGGAGTCCAATTATTGGATTATTGGATATTGACCACATATTGACATGATAGGGCCGGGTCCCGTAGGGATTATAACTTAGTTAGTGCATAAGATTAGCAATATTGGATAGATGAAGCGTCTAATGGACTACAAACACCCGAGTAATAGGATTTAGTGGCGACATGATGTACCCTCATTTCTCTAAACTACGTTATTTCCCTAAATTAATGGTCCATTGCAAACTCTGGAATTCAAGATTTGACATTACTTATGTACGAAGCAAACTAGGAATAAAAAAAATTTTTTCATGAATATCATTCCATTTTCGAAATGGGTAATAAAAAGAAAGCTATTCCATACTTGACACTTATTTCTGCACTTGACTGTACATTATTTTACTTTTGTACCTGCTAAGCACCATGTCCACTGGATTTTCACAACGATCGATCCAGCGTTGCTCGCATCCAGGTGCTTCCCGCGACTTTTACTAGATCGTCGGTTCACCAAGTGGGAATCAAATTTTACAAGCGATTTTTTTTTTCAAAACCTTAATTTTTAAGCAACGTAGGTAGACCGTAACTTTAGCGAAAACCGTCAAGACCTACCTAGTAGATCTTAATAACAGATTTTTATGATGAGCTATTTGCTTATATTACATAGAACCCTATGCATACAAGTAGGTATAATCTAAACTTGACTGCTTTTGTATTAATTTTGTATTACCAGCTAATCAAAATCATAACATGCAGTAACCGAATCAAGAGCGGCAAGTCCTCCAATCATCCTAGAGTCCCAAGAGTCCCAAAGGAGAATGCGCTTTTAGAAGCTATTACGGACTTGGTATATAAAGCCTTAGCCGCTGGACACTTGCATCAGTTGTTCCACAGCATCTCCACAGTCAGCTCCTTCAGTAAAAGGTAAATTTCAAATACATGAACTTAACCAGTAAAAAAAGAGCCTTGATTGAAAAGGTCTTCAAATAATTTAATACAATTACGTTCGTGGTGTAACATGGGCTTTAATCAGCGTCAAATAGTTCGTAACATCTTTTTTACAACTAGAATTATGTTGTTAACTTTTTGGTAACTTTGGGCACATGAGCATGTGCTTTGGGTCACGAAATATTCGACGCTGACTGTACCTACTCACATAACTAATCTCTGGTTTTCTCCACAGATTAAAACATCTCTCAAAATGCGCGCCATCTTCGCTGTGTTCCTCGTGGCCATGGTGCTGTACCTGATCCATTCCACCGAGGCCAATTACAGGAAACCACCCTTCAACGGATCTATCTTCGGGAAGAGGGGAACAGTTGGTAAGTATGTTATGGTAGTCCAACCTGAAGAACTAAAACCTTCATCGAACATTGGCAAATACTATAAAGTAGCCCGGTATGTCCGCATCAAAAGGAACTGGCAATTTTTCTAACAAATAAAACTGAAAAAAATTTTCACCGAACTCTTTACCCACCTGTTTGTTGGTTTGTAAACTTAAGTTCTTTATGTTAAGGTTGAGACAGTTCAATCTTAGTACTTGTAGTAGGTACTTAGGTGCCTACTTTTTACCAAATCGTCGGTTTCTATTGGCGTGGATTCATAACATGTTGTTAACAACTTCAATTTTGTAATTACAGAGTACGATTCCACCGGGAAGGCCTTATCAGCTCTTTGCGAGATAGCCTCAGAGACCTGCCAGGCCTGGTACCAGACCCTGGAGAAGTAGACGATGACCAGCATTTTATAACCCTCGAAGAGCAAAACGACCATGTAAATTAGTAGGTAGCGTTTGTTTACCTATACAGTAGAACGCCGATTATCCGAACGCCGATTAACCGAATCGCCAATTATCCGAATCGGTTCTAAGCCTAATATAAAAAATTAAAACCAAGTAATTTTTGATTTATTTTGTTGGAACTCAGATATATTTCAACTGAGCGTTATTGTAGCAGTTCTACAATATCGCTCAATAGAAATATGTCTGTTTGTTAAACTTATTAAAGTTTGTTCTATGTGCGAAAGTTCGTTTTTCTCTATTACCAGTCTAAGTCCGATTATCCGAATTCTCGATTATCCGAATCGACCCCGGTCCCAATTAATTCGGATAATCGGCGTTCTACTGTATTTGCAAATAAATTAAATATATTTCATTTAAATTACCTGTAACTTGAGGAAAATGTATTTAATTAATTAAAAATGTACTGTAAATGCCGAAATATAAATAATTAACGTAACAAATGGTTTTTATTCTGTTCTGAGAAGTTGGTGCAAAATCCTATCTACTTATTTAGTTACTTAGGGGCCATCCATAAAGTACGTCACACGAATTTCATGATTTTTTGACCCCCCCTCCGTCCCTGTCACAGGTGGTCACATTTCTGAGACCCCCCCCTCCCTAGTGTGACGTCACATGTTTTGCAATTTCACATTGAAAAATTATTAAATTAACAGCAGTTCTGAAATTACTATTAATAATTCCATTTAAATTGAGTACTTTTTTTTTATGAAATCAACATTATATCAAATATTTGAAATGTGACGTCACGAAACTTAGNCTCCCTAGTGTGACGTCACATGTTTTGCAATTTCACATTGAAAAATTATTAAATTAACAGCAGTTCTGAAATTACTATTAATAATTCCATTTAAATTGAGTACTTTTTTTTTATGAAATCAACATTATATCAAATATTTGAAATGTGACGTCACGAAACTTAGGACCCTCCCACCCCTTGTCACACACTATGTCACACTTTGTCAACCCCCTCCCCCCCCCTCTTTACGTGTGACGAACTTTATGGATGACCCCTTATTATTACTTAACGACAGGTGCACCTAGCACTACCGTTCACCGCCATCCCTTTTTACCTAAATATTATTTCTTATCTAATATCACAGCACAGTATATAAATTTGATTTATTTACTGTGCTAACTGTCCTCTAAGTTATCTGGAAGAGATTGCTTTGTAGCGATAGGACCGTCTAAAATATCAGTTTTTTTTTGCGATTATGATCATAGCTCATGAGTGAGTGAGTGCTATCAACTATCATCTTCAAATTGGTAGCTTAACATCCTGGGGTAGGCATTAAGTAGACCAGCCGCGATGTGAAATATGTAATTTTGCTAGTCTAGAAATCGTAATTACTGAAGATCAGAAGTAGATCAATAACTGCTCTACAGTTCTCTCAACCACGTCTTCAACTACGTCATCAGTCGAATAACAACGGAATTAATTAATCAAGACATGAGATACTCCACAATAGCCATTAGTGACCTCATTTGCTACCATGCTTGAAGAATCAGTTATATCCAGTTGTAATTATGTATGGTACTTCAATGAACATACTGATGCTAAAACTTTGCCTAGGTTTTTATTAAATTAATTTAATCCATTTGGCTCTATTTTGAATATTTTTTTATCAATTATCATGTTCATAAATATTTTAATCAGTGTAAGTAAAACTGCGTAGAATGAAACGCTTGTCAGTCTGTTTTCTGTCCACGTTGACAGCTGTTTTCCGGGCTTGTGATTGGCTATTGCTTCTTCGAAATCCACGATCACCCAATCGTGAGTAATGTCAAATTAGCCATGCGTTGCAAATGAGAACAAACATCAATGGCCATTTCAGATACGGAGTGAATTTACGTGTTGAGATTTTTTAGTGATAATTCGCGATTATCTTGTATTTTTTTTGTAACTTGGTGCTCCATTGTTGTTGTACATAGCAGAATTTCATAGCTGAGCCGTCCACACGCTGCCGAAACTTCGGAACAACCATCACCTAGAGTGGTGGAGAGCGAGGTAAATTTTCCATTTAATTCTTGATTTTCACGCACGTTTTATCACTGTTACGAATCGGTACATTTAGGTTCACGTTTACAGTAACCTCTCACGTGTATATCGCTCAATTTACAACCCATTAGGGCAGTAAACATCGCTAGAAGATGGTGCAAGCTGTAAGGTCATATCTTACTAGTAATTATCAATTTTGTGTCAACAAAGCCCATAATTGGGCAGTAGTTATTACTTAAACGGTTTCAAACACTCTAAAAGTGATAATAAGTGCTACAAACTGGAAATATTTCACATTCATAACGTAAGAACGATGTCATAGGTTCTGTTTTGTAAACTTATAGCCGTTTGTTTATTTTAAACGTTGGAAAATATGGATCCATTGTAAGTTTTAAGTGATAATTTATTAATAAAGTTAAGTATTTAATTGTTGATAGATTACATTTGATTACACATTTATTATGAGACATTCATAATCATTATCTTTGTGACAATATTGAACGTTAAATAAATAGATTTGATGACGCTTAGAGTCAAGTACGGTTTGTGTAGGAATTATGAAATTGTTAGCACATCATAAGAAGTATAATCATTATGCTGAAATAACTAATGTATTGAATTCTTTAAACACTGCAAAAATAAAAATCAATTTTATTAACATTTTACACCATGAAGTGCTTATGTAGTGTTTTGAGTGTGTAAAGTGAAAAAGTAGTGTTGTCTCTTTTCAGCATTGGACATTAGAAAAGGCAGGAATAAATCTTGCATTGAAACTTGAAGAAAGCTGAAGACAAAATATGGGAAACAAGGAAGATTTAGTTGTATTCTTCAAGACAAAATAAAAATCAATTGCTATTGACGTTTTATGCAATTGGATTTGTATGAGTCAATTCTAATAAGAATCAACAATGGCCGACGAACCAGCAACAAAAAAGGCAAAACTTGAAGAGATAAAAATGACCGAGAATAACATTATAGAAGACTACATAAACAAAGTAATAAGCTCAAGAAGCAATTTAAAAGCAGTTCTCAGTGACGATTTATGTCAAAACATTGAAACAACGAAGGTATACATTGCGTCAATAAAAGATAAAAAAATGATATCAAAAGCAATCCAAGTTTTGAATGAAAAACTTCCATTGAACGAACTAAATCATCTCAAGAGAGTTCGTAAAACCTCAATACTTCTCTGCCAATCAAGTAATGTAACTACAAATATTCAAGAATTTATAGACCAGAATATACCAGAATTGAAAGATGTTTTTGAATCAATCAATGAAATAGATGTGCCATCTCAGGCTCCCAAATTAAAGAAACAATATACTGAAGTAATAAAGATATGGTCTTGTAACTTCCATCCGGAAAACTATTTGGAAAAACTGGCCAGTGACAACTTTTTTCCTCAAGACGAACTTAAATCACACCGAACATACATGGCTATTGCCTTTGAGACAGTTAGATGGTATTTAAAAGCAACAGAAAAGGGATCGACTGAAGAATTGTTGTCAACTCTCAACGCTTCCGTAGTTGTTGATCCGTCAATAAATTCAGTTGTAGCGGTTGCCTTTGACAATCGATTGAAGCACCCTGTGCAGCATTCTGCTATGTTAGCTATTGACAATGTTGCTAAAACGCAATATGGTGGTGCTTGGGACAGCAAAACAAATGACAACTTACCATTAAGTGGTATAGATGGTGACTTATTAAAACATTTACGTGTAAAATACCCAGATGTCAAATTTGGGGCGAAGAAGTTTGTCAGTAAAGAAGAAAATATAGAAAATGGTGACGATGGCAATACTGGACCGTATTTGTGTACGAACTACCATGTTTATTTGTTAAGAGAACCGTGTGTTATGTGTTCCATGGGGTTAACCCATGCTAGAGTGAAAAGAGTTTTCTTTTGTTTTGACAATGCAGAATTTGGTGCGTTGAAATCTAAAGCTAAACTGCACACGGTGCAATCTTTAAATCATCGTTATGAAGTATTTACTGGATTTTTATAGAATTTAATGTTTTATAAATAAATTTTACAATTTAACTTTATCTTTCACTAAAACCAATCAGTTTAAAATGGACAGATTTCCACAACGATCGGTGCTACTCGTAACCATGTGCTTCCGCTTACGTACGGGTATGAGACAAAATCGTGAATAAATACCCTTAGTATATAAACAATCCATAAAAATTACTCAGTTTTTTTTACAGAATTTGCAATGTTTCCTTGAAATTCCAATTTTTCTCTTCATTAGAATCCTCTTTGAATTTCAGCGAATATTTGAAATGTTTTTGAATACATCTGACCTCTATAAAAACTAGATGGACCGACTATCTGGTGAAGGTCGCGGGAAATATCTGGATGCCGGCAGCGCAGGACCGGTCGTTGTCGAAATCCTTGGGGGAGGCCTTTGTCCAGCAGTGGACGTTATTTGGCTGAAACCTTAGATTAATTAATTAATTAAAATTAGATTTTATTAATCTAAGGCTGAAACGAACTAACGGAAAAACTCATTAGTTACCCAATAGCGCCGTAAAATGCTGTTACCAACCGCTTTTCAATAGTCAATCAATTGGATCATTACCTAACCTTGGTCCTTGCGTTGACAATGGTCGAACGATGGTAGAATGGCCATGATCGTGCTTTGATCGGACTAATGCCTTAATTGGACAAGGATGTGCGAATTTTCTAGATGGGACACTCATGGCGAGACTGGTGATGTCAATAATTAAATGGTTGAATTTCTTGCGCTGCTTCTCAGCACTGGCCCATTCATTGACTCGGAAGTGGTAGGGTTAAAAATAATACTGGGACGTGTAAAAGGCGCTCGTTCTTTCGTTACATTCGAATGACGTCCACTGCTGGATAAAGACCTCCCCCAAGGATTTCCACAAAGACCGGTCCTGCGCCGCCCGCATCTAGGCACCTCCCGCGACCTTCACCAGATCGTCGGTCCACCTAGTGGGAGGCTTGCCCACACTACGTCTTCTGGCTCGTGGTCGCCACTCGAGAACCTTTCTGCCCCAACCCCAACGGCTATCAGCTCTGCGAGCTATGTGCCACTGCCACTTGATTTTAGCGATACTGCGGGCTATGTCAGTAACTGGTTCTCCTGCGGATCTCCTCATTTCTGATTCGATCACGCAAGGAAACTTGTCCATAGTAGTAATCAAGCGACCACGTCTCAGATCCGTATACCATCACTGGCAACACACACTTTTCAAAGACTGTAAAAGCGCTATTTGCAGAAAGTAAATTACTTTTATGACTTAAAAAAGATTAGGTTGAAAGTGCAGGATATGGATGGATGAATAAGGCGGTCCTAAGAACAAAAAGAATGCGTTCTAACTACCATATTGGTAGGCCTGATGTCCTGGTAGCTCCTCTTTTGAATACACAGGAAGAGTGGAGCCTTCTTGCCAACGTGGGGAGTGTAGACCAAATCCTTCATTTGCCTTTGGTAAATTAGAGAGTCGTGCTCCTGCAGTGGAGACTAAATGAACTGATGATGTATTATGCAATGAGTAATTACGAACGTGGTCTAGTAAGTCTATCGGCAAAATATCCATCCAAGAACCTTTCTATATTGGAATCAGAGACAGAATCGTCTGACTAATCAATGCCAATACCAACTAAAAGGATTAAGCACTTGTATTATTACTTCAGATAGCAGTTGATATGGCTTCCTCCTTACATAATGTAAGTACCTATATGTATACGAAATACAGGGTTCGAATAACAATACGTATTGGTAAACTATAAAAATGTGTTTTTCAACCTTTTTCATGACACGATCCCCTAGCATGAAAAAATATTTTGCGACCCCCTACCGCTCGCTTTTTTTTTCATGCATTTTAAAATGTTACAAAGATGTTGTGGGAACTGAATATTTCAATCCATTTAATTTTTTTATGCATTTGCATAATTAGATTTCGGATAAATCTATCTTTACTGTTTTTTTACTGAGGTAGATTTACGACCTCTCGCGACCCCCCTATAGAGGCTTGGCGATCCCCCAGGTTGAAAAACACTGCTCTAGTGAAGCGATTTCGAAATTCCAATACTGACGTTGTTGCAGCGTTGGTAACTTTACTAAAGAGACTGGACCCCCGCTGAATTTTTCGAACTCACAACGATAGGGTTACGTTTTTGCCAATCTATCTCCTTACACCCTATACTGAAGATACTTGAAACCGGCCTAGCTTCTTTTATTTTGGCAACGACTTGGTTTTGAGAACAATGTCACGTAAACAGTTTGGTTACAGACAAATCGTTAAAAGTAAGCAGATATACCTATTTTTCTAGACAGCGAATAAAGAACGACAACAAGACATAGAGTTATAAATCTACTCTGGAATGATCCAGTTATAAAGTGGGGAACATGTGGAAAACCAAGGTTTTATATTTCCCGACTTTAAGCTGGTCTTAGCTTTTAACGTTCTTGATTATTTTATTGCCGGATTTTTGATCTACAACGGAAAATCTTTAATCAGGACGAAGATGGACCATGTGTCCCATAATAGATCATTAATATCCAACGCCCGAATTCACAAACATTACTATGAGGTCTCACAGTGCGCGTGGACGCACAGGGTGATACACGAACCAATCACAGAGTTCTATTCAACCTTGTGCGTTCGATTTGCTGCTTCACTTATGCAAGTATCGTTTGTGAATACGAGCTTGAGTTTCTTGGGTTATTTTTAAAGGAAATTCTATTAATGTATCTATCTCCTAATCATCGTTTGAACCTAATCCCGTCCACTACTGGGCAAAGACTTGTTTCCATAACGTCCGTTCGACGTTGACCTTCGCTAGATCGTCGGTTTCCTTAACCTAACTAAACTAAATTGTAAATAACTTGAAAAAATCGAACTGACTAAGGCGGGAGTCGAAACCACGACCTTTCGCTTGCCGGGCGACTGCTCTTCCATCTGAGCTACTTAGACACTGGACGAACCCATCGAAATGTTCAAGTACTATGTAAAAAGACATGTACAAAGTTCCCCTGAATGAATATGGTACCATATAGGCATATACCCTATTGAACGAACATACATTCGCTCGGCAATCGCAATCCTGTCCATTCATTCGTGCATCAGTGTGCTCTCGTTAAAACATATTTTAACCAAGTGATGTGACGGCTTACTACTCGTATAGTGCGGCCGAAGCTATTTGGTATTTGATACTTTAGTTTTTTCGAGTAGTAGCTTTAGTAGTCCGGACTTTAGTACACCATCATCATCAGGTCATGAAGTCTCCACTGCGGCAAAACGTCCCTCTTTTCAAACTTATTAACGTAACGGACTCTAGTACCTACACCTTTGTCATCATCATCAGTTCATTTAGTCTCCACTGCAGGAATACGACCCTCTCTAGTTTACCAGAGGCAAATAGAGGATTTGGCCTACACTCCCCACGCTGGCCTGGCTTGAGGAAGCGAGTACACCCCTGGCCCTGGTTTAAAGCAAAATTGGTCAAGTAGTCTTTCCAGCAGTCATTTTTATTCATATACCAATGGGGCAATGGTATTCCTCTTCTAAGTCTCTTTTCGGGAAATTAAGCAAAACCCATAGGAGTATAGATCGTGTCATTCACGAAGACGCGCCCGTGTACGTTACTCCAGCTGGAAAGAAGCTCCTAGAGTGATATGAGTAGAACGTATAATTAGTTCCCAACATGGTGTAAATGTGCGCCAAATTAGAGATTTGTGCGTGCTGTCGTTTTGGTACAAAACGGAAAAAACGATTCCTGCTGGAGTAACGTTGTTCTAGCAGGAAAATTCTAAACGAATGATCGGAAAGAGAAAAACTGTGTACGAGAAGATAGCTTATATTTGTTCTATTATGTGAGCTGAAAATGTGATTTGTGCGTCTTAAGGTTCTCGAGATATTGCATTTCCTGCCAGGGTAACGTTTTGCAGAATGCTCTATCTCAATAACCGTTACATGTGCGCCTATAGAATAAACACACACGAGTAGCTCTTGATTTGTGCGTATATGTGAAACAAACATGTATATGAAAATATTTATAAATATCAAGTAATCGAGCTTTCTTCAAAATCCGAAAAAATCGTGTAGCGCCTGAATAACAAAACATACAAGCTCACTGAAAACTGTATTCGATCCTTCTTAATAGGGAACTAATTATACGTTCTACTCATATCACTCTAAGAGCTACTTTCCAGCTGGAGTAACGTACACGACGCGCCCCACCAATTTCGTGTCGAGGGAAGCGCGGGGTGCGGGGAGTTTGGTCCGAGCAATCCGAGTGTCATTAGTATAGTGTGCGTGTGCACTCATTGATAATTTAGCATGTAACCGATAACACTCAAACATTAGCGGTAGAAAGATGGGGGCGCGTCTTCGTGGATGACACGATCAACTGTTTACTTTACTGTTTTGTTTATCCTGCAAATGTAAAGGTTTTTTAACCTTGACAGTTGGCAAGCTGACACCGACTCCGAAGATATCAATCATGGTATATTATTGACCTAAAAAATGACATAATTATTTCTCTGCTTTTAAGTCCACTTTTTTGGACTGTATATTTTTTTAGTTTTATCAAGAGGCAGAACTGTTTTCTTTGTGCCTCACACTCACAAGGCATAAAGGCGTGCATCAACATACGCCCTAAATTCAATTTAACAACAAAAATAATCAAAATAGGTTTAGCGGCTTTACACAGAATTCGTTCGTTCGTTCGTTCGTTCGTTTCAGCCGAAAGACGTCCACTGCTGGACAAAGGCCTTACACAGAATTATTTCAGATAAATTATAAATGGAAATAATAAACACTTGCATTACTAGGAAGTGTAGGTATTATAGTATTTGAATTTATCTTTAATTTATTTATCGGTCATGCCATTGTTTAATCGTATAGGAAATATTTTAATTTCTAAATGAAAGCACGCTTTAATAGTAAGTTTATGCTTTAATTTCTAAGGCTTAGTAATTTTTTTTGTAGTTCTAATAGTAAAGAACTACATAAATAACAGTGGTCTCAGAATACACCCCTG